TAATGGTTTATATGAATATCAATTACCGGTACTTGAATATTAATAGAGTAAATGAATAAAATAAATGAATGGTAATGTAATGTATTTAATGAGAGGGTGCATATGCATTGGAATGAGCATGGTGTTTGGCATGTTAGCATGTACAATTGCACTTATTCGCCATATCGCTACCCTAACCAAACGGATGCCCCAATAAGTGTATGACTGATAAGGTGTTAATGCGATCGAGATATGATTGGTTGCGAATGTCTGATTGGTGTAAAGCGCTTATCAATTGAGCCTTATATCAAACGTAAGACATTTTGAATGGCATTCAACGGACATATGGTTTCGTACGAGACGTACGAATGGAATATGAAGTTTGGAATGAGTGGCGAAGCGATAGACTTGACGGCAATGCACGCGAACACAGCATAGCATACACTGAACGCACACACTATGGCCTACTCTATGGCACACACTGTGAATGTATGGCATTGTATGGGAGAGTGAGTGGAGTATTATTAGAGCTGATAATAAATGTGTCATTCATTTCGTAAACGCTTTTCTATTTTTTAATGATATTTGAAGTGATTTTACAATTTATTTCTCCCATTGTTTTGAAACCATTTTGTCTCTCAATTGTTTGCATCGAAATATCGACACATTTATTGGTATTATTTGTCTATTATTTGTTCATTCATTTTGTCGTCAATTGAATATTGTTTTCATTTTTGTTGTTTTGATTGCAACCGAAAACCATGTCTTGAATTACCGATCAATGGATGACAGTATGGATGGTATGGAAGACAATTCAGGCGGTGATCGTATGGACACGAATGGCGGACGCGTTGATGACAATTGCCTTCAGGCCTTTCTGGCCATCGACACCGACCAAGAGATGGACAACAACTTTGCCGATAACCTACACCTCAAGAGTCGCAGGAAGTCCTTGTCGTCGAAGAATAGCATTAAATCCAATTCAAGTGATGGCAAGCATTCGGTGAAGAGTGTGGTGTCAGAGAAGGGCGCGAATCGGTCACAAACGGTGTTTCTGGCCATCAAAGACACCTACTGTTGGGACTGCCATAAGAGTGGAGTCGACTTCTCCTGTAAGGCATGTCTTCGCAGTTATCATCAAAAGTGTTCGTCACTGAAGAGAAGTCCGTCGGCTGTCGACAACCGGTTGTGTCCCGAATGTACGGACATAATGAAGGCCGAGGAGGAGACCAATCGGT